ATGAAAACAGGTAGTAACTAAGAACAACAGGCTGTGAAGTTCACAGTTGTCCACAAATTTGCCAAGAGAATGAATCCCTGGAGTCTATTGCCTGTCATAGTTGTAGAAGATGGGAGAGACAGTGACACACAAAAGATAGCCACAGCCTACACTGATTAAAACTCACAGGCACTTTTAGTTTCTGGGTGAGCAGAATGCTTTGGCCTTTCTGGGAGGCTCAGCTACAATTTGGTTTAATTTCTCAAACTCCAAAGACAGGCTCTGGTTGCGAGGTGGTGTGTGTCCTGCTGTCTGGTTGTTGTCATTTGGCCTAACTACCTGGTGATCTGAAATCTGCACTTCATTATGTCAATTATTGTTATCCTATTGTGGATGTCTTAAAGCATCTTTTTCGCTTACTTGTTTTCTCTTAGCTTTTTAGTTGGAAAATGTCCTGCTCTCTCAGTTGTGCTAAAGGGAGATAAAGTAGAGGAGTTTTCCATCTATAAGTCAGGCTGGCAAGGGTTGGAGGTAGCAGGATAGCATTTAAGGAAAGATATGAGAGTTAAAGGAAAGAAAAAGAGGGATCACCAGGAAAAGGAATCAAATGTAATGGAGGCAAGTAATTTGTCAGAGAAAGAATTCAGAGTAATGGTTATAAGGATGTGTAAGTGACTAGATGACAAATGCACACAACTCAATGAGAATTATGAGGAGTAGTTTGGTTATTTAAGGCAGAGTCAGAGTATCATCAAGGTTCACTTTCGCTTACAGTAGAGGCTTCCAGAACAGAACAGCAAGTTCTCTTCAGAGAACACCTAGCCTCTTGTTATTTCCATACAAATCTCTCCCAAGATTTTTACCTTTTTTTCCCAATGAATATTACATTAATTGTCATTTTAAAGGACTATCTGTATTTTTATATTGCTCTTAGTTGCCCTGCCCAGAAATGCTTGTGACCTAACTGAAAGAATAGGTAAAGATTTCTTTACCCAAATGGTAAACGCTAACCTGCATTATAACCATAGATTAAAAAAATATATATATATGACCCAGGTTGGCTAGAATGTATAGCAAACTTGACTCAGTATCGCTTTGCCAGCAAAATACTAATGGCTGGTTTTGGCTATTTGAAGATCCCAGACCTCAATTGTAATTTAAGAGCTTAACTTTAGGATATACCTTAAATATTAAAGATTAAGAAAATATCGCTTGATATTTAGGTTGCCAAGAAGCACTTACATGAGTTTTGGTAACAAGTATTGTCTGTGGAAAGATTTTGATTGAAAAACTGTGAGCAGAAAAATTGTTTCAGGAGAATTGACAACTTTTTCCTATTTTCAGCTGTCAAGACTGAAAGAGGCAAAAGATTTAAATTTCTCCGAGAACGTTTATGTTATGTAGAAGAGTACCTTGATTCAAAGTTGTGAATTATTAAAATGGACTTTTTTGACTAATAGAAATACATCATCACTGACTTCTAAATGGCTGCATCTCCACATCTACTATAATCCACACCATGGCCTCTATTAGTTTAAGGGTGTGTCTTTAATGATCAATGAATGATATTTTATAAGATTAATATATGATTTTTATTCTAAAATTATTCTGTTTAAGATAGGCAATAAACATTGTGGCTTTTTCATGTAAAGCTCCATAGTTAACATTTTATTGAATTATGAAACTATGTAATGCCTATAACTGCATGCATTTATTGTCTGAAAGAGTGTAAAAGGTAGAAGGTGATCTTCAGCTCTTTGGATTGACTACAAGTCTTTTGAAAATTGAAAACAAACTTCTCAAGTCTCCCTAAAAAAAATAGACACATTTACTTGCATAGACATTAAATATTTCCTGGTTAAATTCATACTTTTTCCTATTGGCCAACTTAATGATTAATAGGAGTCAGGCAACTTATAGCAAGAAGTAGTAGGTAATTTCAAAAACTAAAAATGTTGAGAAAATAAATTTACTTCCATGAAAAACAAAGGTGCTTTTGAGATGAAAATGGTCATTCAGGGAGATTTATTAGTGTAGAGCTCTCATGGAATCCAAACAAGGCAATGAGATACACAGGCTTGAACTGAGCATGGTAAAATTCCACTTTGTAGTAGAATTTGTAGTGTATTTGTTGTTCTTTTTTCCTCCCAAATTTTAAAGCCACTGTGGAAAACTTGGAGGGAGAAGTCCCTAAGTTATATCCACAACACCAGGAAATCATAGGTTTCTACCCTAGAAGTTGAATGTGCATTGGGGATTGCAAAGTGAGAGAAATGTATGAAATGTGGTTATGTTATAAAATTTTGCCATTTTTCAAATCTTGTTTGATATTTTCAAAGTAAATTTAGATTTCTAAGAAACATTCCCAAAAGACAAAGTTTCTTTAGGAGGAAGAATTACAATAGATTATTTCATTTCAATTTGGAAGTGATTTTAAAATGTAGTACTCTGTTTCTTTAAAAAATGAATAATATTTTCTCTTTTGAAACACTTTTAAGAAGATCACACACAAATAGAAACTTGCATACAAAGTGTTGTTTTAAGTATTAAAATAAATGTATTTTGACTTATTTTGTTTTGTTTATTATTTAGCTGAACAGATGGTAATGGTTTTGACACAATTCAGTTTTTGTTTTCTTTTTCGCATGGGGCGGGGTGGGGGGGTGGGGGGGAGGGACACACAACACAAAACCAGAGCTTCTTTTCCCACTTTGTCACAGCTGGTTACCAATCAATCTCCATTCACGGTACAGTGATGATGGCACATGTTGTCCAGGGGCCAAATCTGATTGGGTTGCATTTTTCAGCAGTGTTTCATATCAGGAAAAAAAGGTATCTTTATGGTGGGGACTGTCAGCACATGATTGTACAACTGTCATTAATCAAACCTGGCAACAATGACTGCATTTATACAAGTCTGAGACTGGCAGATTTCACAATCAAAATCACTCCTTTTCTATTAGGGTTTCCTCACAAGTAATGTTTTTCATTTATTTCTTTTTTTCTCTATTTTTAATTAAAGTCAGATGATACTTCCTACATGTTGAACATATATAACATTATACCATGTATCGAAAGTAGCTGTTTTCTACCAAAGCATAATCCAATTATTTAAAATTCATTCTTAATTATGTAAAAACAGTATAAGAGCAAATCAGGGCAAAGATTTTAAGTACATTAGGTTGTTCAATAACATAATAATTTTAAAGTGTGTCTGTGTTAGTTAACACATTATGAACCTCTAAGGATTACATTTTGGTTTTTGATTCATATTGAGAAAAATATTGATACAACGTTTTCTGGAGTTTTTGAAACTCCGAACACAAAATAGAGAAATGCACACCTGCTCAGTGCACAGGCAATTAGAACAGTAAACACACACGTCAGCTGGGAGGGGTGCGTTGCTCTGTGTTAGCAAAATAAATGTCCTTGTCACAGAAATACTGTCACAGTTTTTTTTGCAACTCAAGACAATCTTGCCATCTTCTATAAAATGGCGTTTGGGAGTAGGCATTATCTCTAAGTCATTTATTGTTGCGAAATCGTCTATTAAATTCTGTTGTGAAATGTAAAGAACTCTTGAAATGTAAGAAACTATTAGTCAAATTTATCATACTACTCAGTCAATATTTGCTCTCTGGGGAAAATGCACATTTCTCCAAATACCCAGAGCAATAGTGTAAAGCATCAATGAGATTACAATTGAGCATATCCCAATTTATCCAGAAAGATACAGGAAAAAAGGCCACATTTACTGGGCCTGTGGAGATATTTAACATCTAATTGCTTGTGAAATATGTAGTTTTAAGGAAAAAGTAATTGTTTCAGAGGAATTATGATCCATTGGAGAAAGAGCATGTGCGTTTTCAGGATCACTCCAGACATGTTGATATTTTAAGAGTTAATGTTGATGATTTAATAAAAGTTCTTAATTCTTTCAACCAATGCTTATTTTGTCAGTTTGCCAACAAATGAGAAAATAAGTTTCCCCTTTAAATATTTGAGCTATCTTATACTCAAGATACCTAAAAACATAAACCATACATTTGAAAGCTGTGTAACCTATAAAATGATAGGATATAACTCACCAAGAAACTCAAATATGAACTACTTGTCTAAGAGTAACCAAAAATAGTGCTGGTAGTGCATTTGATAATTTGTTGTTGTTATTTAACATTTAACATAAATTTTATTTCTCCTTATTAATTAAACATTTAATATTTTTGTGGATTTTTTTCTTTTTAAAAAATTTATTGGGATGCCATTGGTTAAAAGGATCATATAGGTTTCAAGTGCATATTTCTATAGATCTGTATATTGCATTGTGTGCCCACCACCCAAAGTCAAATCATCTTTCATCACCATATATTTTGCCCCCTTAACCCTTTACTGTCGCCCATTCCCTTCTGTCTGGTAACCACCATACTGTTGTCTATGTCTATGAGTTTCAGTTTTATACCTCACCTATGAGTGAAATCATTTGGTTTTTAGGTTTTCCTGACTAACTTATTTTCCTTAACATAGTATTCTCAAGGTCCATCCATGTTGTTGCAAATGGCAGTATTTTATCTTTTATTATGGCTGAATGGTCTCCCATAATATATATGGACTGCATCTATTTATCCATCCTCTACTGAAGGGCACTTTAGTTGTCTCCATGTCTTGGCCACTGTGAATAACGCTTCAATGAACTTATGGGTGCATTTATCTTTGTGAAGGAATGTTTTTGAGTTTTTTTAACACATTTGGTAATTAGGATGTGGCAAGGGTTCTGTATATATATAAAAATAGGTAATTAATAATCAAGCACCTGGCAATCAGATATGAAAGTAATGATCATATTAGCAATACCTTTAATCTAAGCATTACACTATATGGCTGAATGGTGTGTGTGTGTGTGTGTGTGTGTGTGTGTGTGTGTGTGTGTGTTATTTTGTTTCAGGCAAAACAGAGTAGAAAAATGAACTGTCATTTAAATATAACCAAAGCTATTTAATAAAACCAATTTATATTCTACACAGATATGACATCAAAGATGACTACACACTGAGAATTAAAAAGGCTTTGAGTGTAGATGAAGGCACTTACATGTGTATTGCCGAGAATCGGGTTGGAAAAGTGGAAGCCTCTGCCACCCTGACTGTTCGAGGTAAGAGACCGAAGAAGATGTGTAACATGATTGGACCAACAGGCTAATATTTAGTTACATGGGTGAGTGAACCCACCATCAAAATAATAGCTTACCCTGTTTTATTATTATATTAAAAGGCATAGATTTTGTATACACTGTATTATTAATTGAGGTAAAATTACTTTCAAATTTGTGTTCAAAAGGATGATTATTTGAGGTACTTAATTTTTAAAAATAAATAATAGCTAACATGATTTTAAAATGAATCTTAAAAATAGATATTTACATTTCCATTGCTTTGAACTATTTGTTGCTTTTAAATGTCGCTAATTTCAAAAGTACTTTGTGTTTCAGTTTAGTAGTTTGTCACTTTATACTTGCAGAGTGCTGTTTTGAAATTCTTTTTTTATTTCAGCATTCAAAAAGCAATCTGGAAAAAAACACACACAAAAAAAACCTAACACTGCTTCAAAAGGTGAAAAATGAATACAAAGGAGCTCCCACGTTGAGAAAATCTGATTTAGAGAGTGATTTGTGAAGTTCACTGGCCTTAAATAATTGAAATAGCCAGCGCTCCTACTGTAATAACTTTCACTTTCTGGGTGTCATGCACTTTCTCAGTCATGGGATAATGTTCATTTATAGACTCCCTGGAATTGCTTATAAGTGAAGGAAAGCATTACTTAACCCTACGATGAACTAGAATGAATTAACTCTCTTCCTGGTGGTGCACACTGATCCATATGAGTAAATTACATAGCCCAAGGTACCAAGTAGTACCAAGCAGACAGCCACACCAACTCTGGCCAAATAGACATTATCTGTGGTATTGTTTACTCTCAACGAACTTTAGACAGAAACAGGCAAATGCATCCCCTGCTCATTCTTTTAATCTTTCTTCCACTCTCCTGACACTTTCTCCTCTCAGCCTTATGGATGAGGAGGCTGGCTGCACACTCTCATGCAGGTCTCAGCTACTGCTCCCCCTGTTTAGTCATACCTCTTACTCTTGTGCAGCTTTGCTCCCAGAACCTTTCATAAGATTAGGAGAAACGTTTAGAGGAACTTGGGTAGGTTGTTCTCAAATTGTTTTTTTGTCAGATCTATAATTTGGGCATCAAATCATAAAGAAAACCCTCACCTTCCTTCAGATAATTACTAGGAGACATACACACACACTCTGGATATCTGGAAAACATTGGTAATTTCTATAATTTCCCATTGCTCCATTTCTATTCCATATACTTTAATTTTTCCACCAGTTTGATGTGGACTGATATACAAAACTCATTAGGCAAAATTGGCAAGCTAGTTGCTTAAAAATATTTTCATGTCTCATTAGGCAACACATCATAAAAAGTTATGATTATATATCAATTGAATATACATACTGATTACATATGATCAAAACATGAGCCTCTATAAGGCTCTTTACTATATTTAACCTGAATTCTCTATAGCTGATTTTATATTTATACATATGTTTGTTTTTCTCTAGGCAGTCCTTTGCAAAAATAATTCACTTGACCAAATTCCCCCCAAAGTTTGTTTGTTTGTTTTTTTCTGAAGTGAATGGGGGAAAAATAAACAAGCAACAAAGAAATGTTCCATTCAAAAACTATTTGCTGACTAAACAAATGGTGAGAAAATGTGAGGAGTTGTTTGTTTGTAGAAGCAGCAGGGTTCCTTTATACTTGAATGCCTGGGTGAATGAGACTTGAAGTGTTCTGTTTGCTTTAAGATCTTTCCAAGCTAATTGCTTTCATAATTTGTTGAAAGTTTCAGGTTTAACATTTCATTTAACAAAGCATGCTCCTCCTGCATGGACCTTTACATTTAAAGCTAACTTACAAAACTAATAGAAAGAGTTATTTATTTTTAATAGGATTTTTTTTTTTATTAAATCAGCAGATCTTGTGGATGGAATAGAGAGTTTAATCTGTGTGGTGTATATTTATAACTCATCCAACACTGAATCCTCAAACCAGCCACAGAAAAAAAAATCTCCATAATACAATAGAAAGTAGAATAAAATATTGTTTAAATATTTTAATCATTAAAAAAAGCAGTTGGGATTACTCATGCTAACAGGTTAACAGGAAAAAAATAGTATCTATGATATTTTTTCTGTGCTCATTTTTCTATGCACATAAATGAAATGTTCAGTCCTTCCTTCGCTTGTTTTATTAGAACAGGGTCAACTCTGACCCAATAGGCCACATCTATTTCATCAATTTAATGCAGGGACACAGTTTATTTTAATTTGCTGATTTTGACAACATTCACCTGTTGGGGTTTTGTTTTGTTTTGTTTTGTTTTGTTTTTGTTTTGTTTTGTTTTTCTGGGATTAAATGCTGATATGTAACAAAGACAAGAGATTTTATTGTGATGTTTCTGCTAAAATTTTATCACAATGTTCACTTCAGCCAAATGGGGAAAAGGAAAATAAATTTTATAGTCAAAATCTGAAAGAGTGACTTAGTAGTTGGTTTTCCATTTCAAAAATATGGTGAAAATAGTCTATACAATTTAACTTGACAGCAAGTAGCTTCTTTTGCTGACTTGACAAACATAAAATTTGAAAGAAATGATGGTGGACAACAAACCTCCTAGCATTTATATTCTAATCAAATAATTCATGATCTAACAGAACTTTTATGATTACCTTCAAAATGTGTTCACTCAAACTGCATATTTGTAAACACAATGTTTCTCTATTTTTTAATTGCTCAAATTGGCTTTGCATAAATTAAGACTTCATTGGAATAACCATCTTGCTTGTAGGGTAATAATTCCTTAATTTTTTTGAAACTTACTTAGACTAAGTAAAAAACAAACGTGTTTTTTTTTTTTCTTAAAAAAAAATGATTTCTCACCATGGTTTCTTCTTTATCACTGTTTAATAGCATAGGATCAAAATGCTGCTTTGTATCTATGTATAGGAAACTTATGTTTAAGATTCAGCTTAGGATGGCACATGAAAATGCAAATTTAAAAATGAAAGACAGTTATTTTTCTATTGGATATTGGCAAAATTAATCGAAATCTTGTCAGTGAGAATAAGCCACAACTTTATGATGTTAGTCTGTTGTCTTATTCTTGGTTATTATTTTTATATGTCCCCTACAACAAAAAACAAAAAACAAAAAATAAATTGTTGTACATTGGGCAAATTCTTCTATTCCTGTTACTACAGTAAACCCATCATAGACTATGGAGCACGCTAGAGTTTTCATACTGCTACTATAATTACTTTATTTTTCTTTGAATTGTCTTAACCTCCCCTTTCAATTGTGAATATTACAAAACCATGGATCTCACATAAAAGCAACTCTAGTATTGTTCAGAGATTGCACAATGCTTTTATTATGATGTGTGTGTTGAGTGAATGAGTATCTATAAACATGGTTTGAAAGGCCATATGTATCTCATCATTCCTCATGAAACATCATCAGGATGAAACTAGCCATCAGTTCTAGAATCTCATTTCATATACATTAGAGCTTCATTCGCTAGGATATGGGTGAAATGCTTGTCTAATAAATTTATATTTTTAATGTATGATTTTGTAAAAGTTTAAATGCTACTACATGTATTTCTTCTTCATTTAAAAAATGGGACCATGTGTTCTATATTTGCCTATTGCTTTTTATATAAAGTGGTTTACTATCTAAGTTGATTTAGCATTATTCATTTTTTAAAAAATGTTATTAAGCTCATGTGTGTCTTATAATTTCTGCGCATTAATAATAGAGGCAACTTATTACTACTTATTTTAGTAATTGAAAGTTAGAGTAAAATAAAAATAACAATTTATTGAAGCACCAATTTGAAAGCCATTTTCAGTGTGAACAGGAATCAACTTGTCAGTCATTGTTTCCTGCCCTCTGCCAAAATAAGAAAAAGCTTAACAGTAGTTAGGGAGCTACTCAGCTGAAATCTCTAAAAATGTTCCAACCTATTTGTTATATTTTCATCCGCCCTGTCCAGGGATGAAAAGTGATGTGATCTTAACTTATTACTGGCTGAAAAGCAGTGTCCTGGGCTTTTCTGTAGTCCTATAATGGTTCTGACTAACCATGCTTAAAAACCAATTGCTATTTAAATCAGACAGTGAGGCCTTCTTTTATTGACATGACATTTGCTAGTCTGTGACTTGAATAGTTACAGTAATCAAATTCTTAACTTTACAGTACCACAAGGCTTTTTAACTCTAAAAACACCATTGAAATTATAACTATAGTTAAGTGATGAAGATATGACTTTACATAAAATTTCTCTAATTGCTTATAGTTAATCCTGGCATGCAAAAATAATTACTTTCTTAGAATTACATTATAATGTTCAGTTTTATCAAACTCAGACATTCTGTTCATACTTGAACTATGACTAGAAATCATTCTACTGTCCATACTTAAATGTAACATTACACATCATGCATTCTGATAATTTTCTTTTCTTTTAATTTCTTTTTTATGTTCTCACCACACCATTGTAATGTCTACAGCTCGCCCTGTTGGTAAGTAGCCATCCTTCTATCCATTTAGCATGGCTTTGCACAGTTCTTCATAACTCATGCATAGTAGAAATTGACAGAATGAAATATATTCATCCCTGTTAAAATATTGCTTAAGGGACTGTCTTCTGTGAAAGTTGTTTCTGATCTTTTCATCACTTTGATAAACAATTTTGTAGTGACTTCTACTATTTTAACAATGAATAGGTAACAATTTTCGTCTAAAAGAATATATGAATGGTTAATATTATAAACTGCAAACTTTTCTTGAGAAAAATATAATACTCCCTTTTTCTGGTATGTATGAAATAATCAATTATTAGTTATGTTTGATATTCAAAAATTAAGAAGTTCTATCATTTTTTTGTACTTCCCTTATTTTAAGCTGCTTGGAGTCTTTGCTTTTTAAGAGCATTTTAACTGCTGCATACTTCTTATCTGCATACCTATTTAAATAAATTTAGTAGAATGCTTCAAATTATTATAAATAGTTATTTAAACTAAGAGGAAAAGAAAGTAATGAGCTATGTTCTTTGGCATGAAAAGTTTGTGGTTTCAATATATTTCATCCTTCATTTGGCTTTGCAAAATTGAAGTGAACAGCTTTTGCTTGCAGTAATGTAAGTGGTTATTATTGGTAAATATTTGGAAGATAAATTATTTTTAAATTCATTGATTTAATAACCTAGCTGTATTTTTTTAAAGTTTAGCTTAACCTACCAATAAATGTGTTAAGTAAAAGAAACCTTGGTAATCCTATATAATAAAAGTATAATATGCAAATTGACCAACTAGTCGCTATTACATGCACTGACCACCAGGAGGCAGATGCTCACTGCCGGAGCTGCCTTCTGTTGGTCAGGCGCTCACCCAGAAGCCAGACTCACTGCTGGTGAATGCAGTGGCAGTGGCAGGAGCCTCTCCTGCCTTCGCTGCAGGCAGGCTGTAAGGATCAAGGGGTCCTGGACTGTGAGAGCCACAGACTGCAAGAGGGATGTCTGACTGCCAGCTTAGGCCCAATCTCTATGGGGATTGGGCCTAAGCCAGTAGGCGGACATCCCCTGAGGGGTCCCGGACTATAAGAGGGCACAGGCCAGGCTGAGGGACCCCCCTCCCTCAGTGCATGAATCTCGTGCACTGGGCCTCTAGTTGTGTTATAAGTAAATGAATAGATATATGCATAAATGGATGGATGGTTGAAAGAATGAACGAATCTAATACACTGCTTCTTTATTACACCAAGATATCTCAGTAATTTACTCAATTCAACATAGCTGTATAAATGTTCCATCTTACTTTAAAAGCTTGTCATTATTTGATGCATATTGGTCCAAATTTATAATCTTCTTTCCCATTTGTTGAAACATGACAAACTTTATTATTATATTAAATTCATGCACTCGGGGGGTCTCTCAGCCCAGTCTGCACACTCTCTCAATCCAGGATGCCTCGGGTGGGGTCCAGTCCCATTGCAGCATGGCTCTGCTTCCCCAGGCCTGTGGGCCGGGGGGAAGGGACCAAGAGGCCAGCCTAATCACAGCATAGCTCTGGTTCCCCAGAGCTTGTGGGTGGGGGGAGGGACCAAGATTTCCAGATCACAGCATGGCTCTGGTTCCTCAGAGCCTGCAGGCGGGGAGACGGACCAAGGGGCCAGTCCAATGGCAGCATGGCTCCTTTCCCACAGCTCCCTCTGGCCGCCACGCTGCAGGCCAGGACTGACTCCCACCGTAGGCGGCCAGGACCCATGACTGATTCCTGCCATGTGAGGCCAGGACCCAGGACTGACTCCTGTTGTGGGCAGCCGAGACCCAGGACTGACTTCCACTGCACCGGCCGGGCCCCTAGCCTGGTGTTCGGTCATCCATCCAGACGTTTAGGTCGTGACGGACCTTGCCTCTTTATATATTAGGATAGTATATATTTACATGAATAGAAAGTATAATAAAATCAAACTTTGATTTTTCAATCTGAATTTTTGCTCTAGTATTTCTGAGCAGTAATTTCTTTGTCAGTTATTTAATATCCTTGATTCTCAGATTCTTTTTCTATAACACGGGGAAAGTAATACTGACTTATAAAGCTGCTGTAGGAATTAATTTAGTTCAAGATTGATAATTTATGTGAATTTTTTATGCCAACATTGGTTAACATATTCCTAGTTTCTGAGAAACATTTTATCACATTTTAATATTTTTGAAATACAGTTATGGCTTACAGTTAATTGAACATAAATGGCAGACTTTCTTTAAACACAATTATTAAATTGGTCATGCTTTTTACTATTGATGTTGTTAGAAAACTGAGGAATAGATTATAATTTTAAGCTTCATTTTTTGTATTTATAAGAATTCATACTACTGTGATAACTTTGCACATTATGATATGGCATCAAAAATCAAGAAGTGGCCCTAACCGGTTTGGCTCACTGGATAGAGCGTCGGCCTGGGGACTGATGGGCCCCAGGTTCGATTCCGGTCAAGGGCATGTACCTTGGTTGTGGGCACATCCCCAGTAGGGGGTGTGCAGGAGGCAGCTGACCGATGTTTCTCTCTCATCGATGTTTCTAGCTCTCTATCCCTCTCCTTTCCTCTCTGTAAATAATCAATAAATTATATTTAAAAAATCAAGAAATGAATGGGAAATAATAAAATAATAACTATAAATTAGCAGGAAAAATCACATTTAATTTATAGATCTTTATATAGAGTAACCATTTGCCAATGAACCATGACCACTTGATTTATATTATTTCTAAAGTCCCCCCAAATAGAACAATTTGTTAATAATTTCAAATATATTTTAAACTCATAAATACAAAATATATTGTTTAGAACTTATTATGCACATAGAGTAGTATTAAGATGCATTTGTCATGTCCAAGGCACTTTAAAAGTTATTTCTGTTTTTTATTCTGTTTCAAATGATTTCTTAGATTCCCATTGGACTGGAACTAAAGAATAGCTTCTTGACACATTATACTTTATTCTGGGAAAGCCTGTCATTTAATAAATCTATTTTCAAATGACGTATGACAATGTTCAAAAATATGAAGAACTATACTTTAAACTTGACAACTACTATTAATTTTGAAAACTGAATGATGGATATGCTGTTATTGGATCACCAAAGGAGAAACTGATAATGAAGAAATTAGCCTGCTTTTTCTTTACATCAACTTTGTACATCAACTTTAATTCAGGAACTCTAGATATGTCACCTTTTATTGAAAGGTCCAAAGATACAAATCAAATAAAATCTAATTAAATATTTAAATAATAGAAAACTACATTAATGTTAATATTTGTTAGTGGACTATGTAAGTTTTTCAACTTTGAATCTCTTACCAATAACTTTAAAGGTAAAAACTGGAGAAAGGGGAGAAAAACAGCTGAAGATATAGATACCAAGTACATAAAATTTATAAAAACCTCAGTGAGTTGTTCCTATCTAAAGCTTTCAAATGAAAATTAGAAATAATGCAGATTCCAGAATACTAATAGATTCAGGAACCAATGCCTACATTGTATGCCAGATGCAACTTGGTAGTCTGTGTGGAAAGTACATTTAGAAATCATTATAAACCTCTAAATCGGGACTTTTGTCCAAATGCATGGCTCCTGTGAGCTGTATCTGAGTTAAAGAATTGGCAAATCTACGTATGTACTTTACAACTGGAATAAACTCGTCTGGCCTGTGCTTTTGAGAGTGTAAGAATAAGTCTTGATGTAGTAGAGGATCCTCAGTGTGGAAAATTTTACTGAAAGCGGACAATCACATGCTTGCCAATGGAGGATAGCATTCTCCAGATTTCACTTACTCGTCTTCTGTGTGTTCTACATTTCAAAATGAGCCCTTTAATCCAAGTCCTTATTCACTGGTTACCACAAAACCTAGACGAATGCCACTTAGGTCACTAAAAATTCACCAGCCCTTCCTCTGGTTTTGACTTTTTACTGTCCCAGAGGCGGTCTTTCTATGAAGAGCAACAGTACATCCTAGGACACAGGTAACTGTAAATGCTGAAGTATTCATTTATTTAACAAACACTACTGATTAAGTAATTGGTAGAAGAAAATGATCTAAATAGGGACAAATATCTCGCTTCCTATACCCATCTATCTTATTTTCAGTTGGAAGTCTTTCCCAAGCTTAAAAATAAAAAAAGAACATCTATTTTGGAGATGGGCAACACATTTTTTCCAGCAGCAACTCAAAACATGATGAGTAATTTGGAAAAGAACCGGCAAACCTACCAGCTGCCTTGCTTGTGAAGCTGAGTCCTGCTTCGTTCAGCATCTCAAGCACCATATGCTAGGTGCTGATTGCCTCCAGTGTGGAAACTAAAAGCTTCACTTGTTTCAAATATCAAAAGCAAACTGACAACACATAACTTTAGAGAAACTTCCAAGTATTTCCTAATATAGTGACTCAAAAGTATGTTTCCTTTGGATAGAAGAATATAATTGTCCACACATACTTATAAACATGAGTTTATAAGTATTGAGAAAAATGTTTCCTTTGGATATAAGAATATAAATATCCACACATGCTTATAAACAAGAGTTTATAAATATTGAGAAAAATATGTTTTGGGCAAAATCCTCATATTTTATTATTATTATTTTAAAGAAGCATCCACTATTCTAAAGAGAAATCTACAAGAACATATATTTTTCAAATCCTTTAACTGCTCAAATACAAAAATTAAATATATATTAATTTTTGAAAGTTCTATTTGAAGTGCAGTTTTGTTTTAATATGCTCTGAAGCATTTTATTGAGGCCACCAAGAAGTTCAATGGAAAAAGAGTGATTAAAATACTCATTTAGGGAAAATTATAAAACAGACATTACTCTAAGTCTTAGAGTAATGCAACTGATATTTTCAACACCACTGTACTGCACCCTGCCTTGAAAACTAAAAAAATTGGGAAACATGTAGGTATCTTGTAAGAACCCTTTCATGCCGAGATCTACTTTTCTGCAAAAGACATCCTGAGTCTT